GTTGGAAGAAATATGAAAAACAGAATGGAGGTTGTTCAAAAAATTTGCGTTCCTTTCTCTGTGTATATACCATAAACAATTGAAATCAAAATCTTGAAAAGATTTCTACATTCTCATTTTCATAGCATCATTGTCCCAATAGTTCAAGATATGAAAACAATCCAAGTATCAATATATGAATTGATAAAAAAATATGTTATATCCATATAATGGAAAACTATTCAGCCTGATAAAGGAATCTTGCCATTACAAAAGTATGAAATATGAAGACATTTTTCTCAATGCAATAAGCCAATCAGATAAAAAAGATAATGTATCCTTATACATAGTGCAATATAGTCATATATTTCTTTAATCTGTTAAAGAGAAGGCCTAAAAGAAATGACAGCCAAGCAAACAAAAAAAAAAGGAAACTACAAAATCCAACTTGCTTTGCTCAATTTACATAGATTGCTTGGTATAAAACCAAGACATCTAAGTAGTATCGAGGTTCCTCAAAAGACTCCACATAGAGCTCCCCTATGACCTAGATCCCACTTTGGGGCATTTACCCAAATGATCACAAACAAGACCATACTAAAGCTCCCAGAACAACTATGTTTATTGCAGCATTATTTACCATAGCCAAGATAAGGAACCAGCCCAGATAGATGTCCCTCAGTAGATGAATGGATCAAGAAAATGTGGCGTGTGTGTGTGTGTGTGTGTGTGTGTGTGTGTGTGTGTGTGTGTATAATGGAATTCTATGCCTCCATCAGAAAGAATGACATCTCTCCATTTGTTAGGAAATAGAAAGACTTGGAAAAAGTTTTATTAAATGAAGTAAGCCAGGACAAAGAAACATAGGTCCCATGGTTTCCCTTATTTGCAATAAATAGTATATGTCTGGGACAAACAGAAAATGTCAAATCTATGTACATATGACCAGATAAGATGAAGTTAAGTGAAATGAACCCCAAGATAGGGACACAAGTGGTTTTTTCTTTCTTGCTATTGTTTCTAATGTATTTATAATGTACCATGTGCTTTTTTGTTGTTGTTGTTGTTGCTTTGTATGTTCCTCCCCCATGGTATAACCCCTGTTTTCACTGTATTTATGTTGGTCTAATTTGGAGAGAGGAAGGGGAAAAATGTTTAAATAGGGATCCAGGCTGACCGATTTTAACAATGAGATGTACAAAACACTATGTTGAAAAATGAACCTTACAATTTAGGCAGGGTGGTGGGGGAGTGTAATTGTGGAGGTGGGAGGAAGGGATGGTAGGGGAAAAACAAAGGAGGAGGCAACAATGCTTGATAGGAAATGTACTCATTTCCTAGCTCATGTAACTGCAACCCCTCTGTACAGTATTTTTACAATAAAAATTATTAAAAAAACATAATGAAGAAAACATTGACTACTTTAATAAATGTAGTAGATGAGAAAGAACTCTAACTTATGCATATTTCTGACCTCAAAGACAGCAAACATAATGCCTCAAACTCTATGTGGTCTGTACATGGTGATTTCCTTCCCAAGACTAGAGTGTGGGACTGAGAGGGAGTAACTTTCCAGAGGAAGAAACACAACTGCAATCTCAGAGACGTTATCAAAATCAGCATCAGCAGTCAGTTACTCCTTCTTCTGGTTATGATGCAATAAAAATATTTTACCTCTGTGATCTTAGCCTGCAAAATGCATAGCTCTGATTAAAACAAATTCAGGCAAATTCCAATAAAGAGGATTTCAGCATGAATTGGAAATGATACATTTTTTTAAAGCTACAATCATGGCTGAAAAAATTCTAGGATAAATTCTGAGGCCACCAAGATTTAGCGTTAGGATTATCCAGTGTTTTGAACATTCTCTAAGAATCCCTATATTGTTCAAATTAATTCAGTTGTCCCAAAAGAAAATAAAAGTCAATAGTAGGTCAAAAGAAAAAAAAATGCTGCTGATATCCCAAACTTGAAACCAGATGGCAGTAGAGTATTAAGATTTGCTGGGAAATGTGGAGTAAAAGTCAGTAATGAAAGAAAAGCACTGGTCCAAGGTTCATTGTGAAATACTAAAACTGTCGACTGTCAGTTTGACTAGGCGTGCTGGAAATGACATCAACACACAGCAATTGGAGGAGATTACACAAAATATAACAACTGCCATGAGCTGATTATAGATGAAATAATGCACTTTCAAAAATAAATTTTACCTCTATATGGTATTCTCACAATAAAAAAATAAATTTTAGTAACAATGGATAAGGACTTTAAAAACTTGCAGAGGAAACAGGGTTTACAGAATGTGCCACGTACTGATTTTTTTCAACAAAAGCATTGCCTATGAAAAGCCTATTTAGACATGACTAAAAAAAAGCAAGTCTAAGTATGAATCAGATCTAGTGCTAGACATCCAGAACTTATGAAGCTGTTGTACCATTTGTAAAAAAACAAACAAAAAAACTAACTTCAAGCTGGGCACTGGTGTGGCTTACTCCTTTAATCAGGAGGCCAAGATCTGAGGATCATGGTTTGAACCCAGCCTGGGCAGAAAAGTTTGTGAGACTGTTATCTCCAATTAACCACCAGAAAACCAGAAGTGTCACTGTGGCTCTAAGTGGTAAAGTAATGTTAGCCTTGAATGAAATATATCAGGGACAGGACCCAGGTTCTGAATTCCAGCCCCATGACTGACAGAATCAAACAAACAAACAAAAAATTCATGTATTTTTCCTGGGAAATCCCACTGGGAGCCAGATGATCAAGAATCATTGCTGTTAAAAGCAAATGCCTTCCTTCCACCATCTCACCCAACTCTGCTTGACTTTTGTCTAAATGCAAAAGGTTAAAAGAAAGAAGAAATCAGTATACTATTGATTTCAAGATAAAAAGTTTCATTTCAGCTATAGCTATATGAAAGTATTTTCCTATATTTACTCTTTGCAATCATAATCCCCAAAACAACTACTCAAAATTTCTTTATACATCAACAGATGCTATATTTGGTGAAAATTATTTTTAATTGTACATTTAAAATCATTTTATCTATGTTCTATTTACATAGAAGAATACCCTTCCCTTTGTCTGGAAGAAACTACTTCTTCCTTCTGGGAACTACATTTACTAGTGTTACATCTCCAAAATGATACGATTCCCATAAGATGTTTCATGTTCTTGCCTGATGGGATTAGGATCCACTAAATCTAGCATAGGACCCTTTATATCAATGCATGCGCCTCACAATGCTGTACTTCACATAGTTCAAAGAGTGATACTCTGTTTCCAACTCAAAACTAGCAGTGTTATTCTCAAGTTGTTTGAGCTTGGTGGGAAGGAGAGAGCCCTCAGCTTGATGGAAGAATGTTTGCGTTCTGAGAAGTGAGCATGTTTCCTTCTAGGAAGAGAGGGAAGGTGGGAGAAAGAGGGGAGTGGGAGAGAAGGAGAGACTGAAAGGGAGAAAGAGAGACAAAGACTGAGACACAGAAAGACAGAGAAGAGGAGAGAGAGAGAGACTTTTATAAGGAGTGCAGTGATATACAGGAATCCTGGTGGTTTTCAGTTTTCAGGAATAGTTGTTTCTGCCCTTCCAGTCCTAGAAAATTGGTTAATAACTGCTTGGATTAAATTTTTCCAAGCTGGTTTCAGATTCAGGCACCCAAATAAAAAATTTACATGAGTTTAATTGCGCTCCACTTTAGGCTGACATAACCTGAACCTTGCTCCTCATGATACTCAAAGCATAACAATGCTAGATTTATTACAGAATCCAATGGAAGTAGAAGGCAAATAAGACAAAAATTAGAAGTTTTGTAGAAAGATTCTTCAAAATCATGTACATTTTATGCATATGTATTTTTGTGGGTTCACATAGTATACAGCACAATTTACAAAGTATACAACTACTGATTAAATATAATGTGTGTTACTATTCTCAAGGTGTCCTGAGAAAATACGCATCTCACTAGTAGGTTTAATGAAACTTAAAGCAAAGTGGAATGTACTACTTTGTCCTGAATTTCAGTCTACATACATGTTAATTTGTGCACATTGTATCTGGGGATGAGCATCTGTTGCACTACTGAGTTCACACAATGCCTGCAATTGTGTTTATTGAATGGCCCTTGCTTTCTTCCTTTCTCCGGACAACTAGTGGATGAGCAAGGGCTGCCTAAACATTAGACATTTCCTCTCATCTTTGGATCCAAAGGAGAGATCACATTTTTCTTTTTTAATAATACATTGTATTTTTTTTCATTTCCTCCCCTACTTTAGCTATGACCCTTTAAATCATTTTGAAACAGGAAATGGCTCTATCTCCTCCTGAAATCTGTTTCCTTTGGAGTGGAAAAATGTGGTTCATCACTCACAGTCACTTTCCTGTGGGGCATGATGACTCTGGAGGGTGGGGGAAGAATGACCTGGGGAAGGGAGTGCCTGCAATGGCAGATGTTTCTTTTGCCTGCTGGTTTTTCTGTCTCCAATCTCATTGAAAACCTGGTTAGGAAATTCACTGTCAAACATGATCAAAGGAAAAACAAAGTTGGAATTTCTGCAAATGTGTTTCCCTATTGGAAGAGGGATCAAATGAAAGAACAAAAGAAATCAGAAATAGATTTTTTTTGTTAAGAAGGTAATAAAAGTGCGATTTTTTTAAAATATTGTTAGTCCAGACTAGGCAAGAATGGTGATATGGACAATGCAATTGTACAAGAAATTAGATCTCAGTACACAATTATCCATCCGGGTCTATATTTAATACCATGTGTCAATGAGACCTATTAGTTTGTGTTCTCAATGTTGAAATATATGTACTTACATATAATTAAAATACATACACCTAATCTGTGCTTGTCAATTATTTTGAATACTAATACATGTTATAAGTAGGAATTGTACATGATGTGAAGAGAGATTAAAATGTCTTAGGAATTTGTGTTGGGGAGTATTTGTAAGTTCTACCAAGTCTAGAGATAGGTCGCAGCAACACTTTTGCTTATTGGGTGTGTTTTGGTTCTACATTTCAGAAATGACTCACAAAATGAAGAAAGAACACATGTTTTGGGCCTCTATATGTCTGCTACTCAGTCTTGCTCCTGGAACTCTGAATGAAAATCCTGAGGAGGATGAAGAATATACCAGTGTCACAGGTAAATGTTAGAAGCTTCTGCACTTTTAGGTAATCAAGGTTGTTGATTTTAATAAAAGTACAGTTATATATTTTGATTGTGTCAGAAAAAAATATTTTTTAATTTAGGATTTTATTTTTTGGGTCCGGTTGTGGGCCTGAACTCTGGGCCTGGGTGCTGTCCTTCAGCTCTTCAGCTCAAGGCTAGCGCTCTACCACTTGAGCCACAGCACCACTTCCAGGAAGCTTTTTTTCTTTTTGCTTATGTGGAGCTGAGGAATCAAAGCCAGGGCCTCAGGTTTGCAAGGCAAGCACTCTACCACTGAGCAACCTTCCCAGCCCCAGAAAAAAATATTTTTTTTATCAAAATAGCCTTTTTCCCCTAGTACATTTTTTTAAATATAGTCATCTTTAGCCTCCATCCACAATCAATTTACTTTTAAAAGAAATACTTCTTCAAGTCTCTATTTAGCACGAGCCCAGGACGATTTAGATTCTCCTTTCCCTGCTTCAGAATAATGAAATTACAGGTGTACATTACCACCATATCCATCTAGAACTTCAGTCTTCATGTAGCCTTGAAGATATCTGGACTGACTTCCATTCATACTCTTAGCTACTTTTATTTTTTGTTTTTGTTTTAAGTTAATCTTGCAACATCAAGTTCCCATATCTGCTAAATTTAATTTTGGAAGTACAATTTGTCACATTATGCTGAGACCTTACCATCATTATATAGAACAATGTATGTTTTCTGAAATAGAATACTATCATTGATAATATAATTATAAATATATGTGACAGACCCAAGTTGTTTGGCATTACTAGATGTTGAACTCCCACTAGACACGTGTGCTACCCTTTGAACTATACCCCTTAGCCTTTTATACTTTATTTTTTTAGGTAGGATCTTGTGCTTTTTATGTAGGCTAGCCTCAGACTACAATTTTCCCACCAATGTCTGCCATAGCTGGGACTGCAGGCATGAAGCACCACCTGACGATTTGTTTTTTTAGTCTAGGACCTGACTAGTTTTTATGCCTGGGTTGACTTTTAAATGCAGTCCCTGTATCTCAGCCTCCTAAGTAGCTGGGATTACAAGTATGAGCCAGGGTGGATGGCCCAAATGGTAAATTTAAAAACTCAAATCACTGGGGAAATAAGTTTCTTGATAAGAAAAACATGATAATATAAACAATATTGGTAAGATTTAAAAAAAAATCTTTGGGGCTATGAAAGAAAATTAGCAGGGAATGTTTAAGGAAAGGTATATCACTTTCATGAGATAGAATCAGACATGAACAAGTTTACAGATTCATTTATGTCTGATTCTAAATCAGTGGTTTGCCCTTCCAGAACTTTTTTTTTAACTTTTTTTTTTTTTAGTGCCCATCTTAGGGCTTTGAACTGAGGGCCTAGGCACTGTCCCTGAACTTTTTGCTTGTTTGTGTGTTTGTTCAAGGTTAGCACTCTACCACTTGAGCCTCACTTCTGGCCTTTTAGTGGTTAATTGAAGGTATGAGTCTCACAGACTTTCCGGCCTAGGCTGAATTTGAACCACAGTCCCCAGATCTCAGCCTCCTGAGTAGCAAGAGTTACAGATGTGAGCTACCAGCACTAACCTTACCTCCCTGAACCTTTTGAAATCAGGAGTTATTGAATTTCTCCAACTCTGATCATCTTAATATGTAAACTAGGGATGTAAATAAATATAGTATGTAAACTAGGGATGTAAATAAATACCTCCATCGGAGTGTTACACACACAGTTTCTAGTAATTTTTTGTGTGGTTGTTCAAAGGCAAAGGAACCTGTTTGTATCTTCCTTTCCAGAGAAAATCAGATCTTTACTGAGAGAGGCCATCATCATCCTCATGGGACTCAATTTTCTGGGAGCCCTAGATCCATAGGCAAGATTGATTTTCTAGCAATTGAGGTATATCATGAGATCAGGCACCAAATAGTAAATGGAGCCTTGTATCTGTCATCTCATCAGGAAGGCTAAGATTATAATCCCATACCAGGAGACTCAAAATATGTAGAATCAATTACAGAAATGATTAAATATGAGACATCACTATCTGGCTGAATTGGATTAAATTCATATGATTTGGTCCTGTGACCTTCTGATTCATGCCATCATCTTTACTTTTATTGACATTTGTTTCAAGTTTCAAATTCATGTCTCAGGAAAGTAACTCTGGACCTGCTTGGCCAGGTGAGCCCTTACACAAGCCTCAGTCTCCTGAATGTTTATGTCAGCTAGTCTTAAGGAGTCCCACTCCCTGATCATCAGATTTTCAGGGACAGCATGGGACGGACAGATCCATGGAAAACATGCAACTGTTAACACTGAAATGCTTATCAAGTAGAAATGAAAAGACAGGCTAGGTTCCCTGGTTTTTGCCTGGGGTGGTATGGTACCTAGGTATCCTGTGTCCCACTACACAACCACTTCCCCCTCGTGCTGGGATACTATTCCCTGGTGTGAGGCATACAAAAAAGACTTCCAAATTGAATTTGTATGAGAAACACGTTAAGCCAAGTGCAGTGGCTCACACCTGTAATTCAAACTACTTGGTCAGCAGAGACAGGAGGATTTTGTTTTGAGCCACCAGCTTGACTACACAAAGTAACTGACACCCAATCTCAAAGACTAAGCTGATGATGATTCACTTCTGTGATCTCAGCTAATACAGGACGCAGAGCTAAAAGGATTGTGGTTTAAGGTAGAACAAGACAAAAGTTCACTAGTATGTCTGAAAAATTATTGAAGTGAAAGGTCTGGCAAAATGGTTCAAGTGGTAGAGTGATTTCCCAGCAAAAATATACCAAAAGAAAGACAGAGAGGGAGGGAGGGAGGGAAGAAAGAAGGAGAGAGGAAGGAGAGAAAGAGAGGAAAAGGGAAGGAAAGGAAAGGAAAGGAAGGGAAAGGAAGGGAAAGGAAAGGAAAAAGATTAAAATGTGAATGACTGTTTTTTAAAACTGTTAACATGAAATTTCCCTATTTTTCATCATTGAAACTATATTTAGCATTACAAATTCATTTTTAAAATGTCTTGAGGGAAAATTACATAATTAAATCTATGTGCCTTATCCAATGTCATTTTAAGGATCTTTAATTTTACAGGCTTGTGACAAGCACTCTTATTTAGAATTTACAATAAAGTTGCTCCTTAATCATTTGAACAGTTATGAATTAAGTCTATCAAATAAGTCTATCAATTAAGGATACAAATTTGAAACATTTAGTTAAATCTGTAATGCTATTCTACAAATTGTAGAGATGAAACCTGTCTTACAAAGATGCTGTGATCATTAGACGATACAATTACAAAAGGTCTGAGTACAATAATTACTGAGTAAAATTACTTATTATTACTGGAACTACACAAACTGATTACTACCTTTGCTTTTCTGGTGTGTTCTCACCCCCCTGTGGCAAAATTGCTAAATGACAGGCTGAACTTTACTTGCCCAACAGAGAAAATGGAAGACAAACAGTATGACTATTAAAATTATATAAATCAAGAGTGGAAACATAAAGCAACCAGCACTGATAAATATAAATTTAAATTGATTTATAATATAAATATAAATTGATTTATATCTGTGCAATTCATGTGTAGTTTATGATTTTCAGGTGTAGATCTTGCCACAAAAAGTGCCAACTGGAAAATAAATAGTGTGGTGCTTTAGTCATATTAATTTACTAATTAAGACTATGATTTTTTTCCGATACACATTCCTTCCTTATTAAAACAAATGACTCATTTACTATTTCCTGATGGTTTTTTTCTCCATGATTATATTATATGTAATTATTTATTATGATTTCCTGTAAGGGCAACAGGCATCTCTGTGCAAAATGGCTTGTCGTTGGAAAACTGTAAATGTCACAATTTTGGAATCCCTGGCTGATTTCTTGAAATTATTTGAGCAAACACTGAGGCCTGATTTTTATGAATATGTTGACTGTTAGCAGTTTCCAAAAATGTGTCTAGAGCATAGAAATTCATGGTGTAAATTTTTTATGTTCTATGACTCAGAGTGAGATACACCATATAGGGGCTTTTAGCAAAATTCTTGGTTCTCACAGCTCAAAATATCAATTTTGTAACAATGAGATGTACAAGACACTATGATTGAAAAATGAACTTTACAATTTACGGGGGCAGAGAGTGTAGTTGTGGAGGTGGGAGGGAAGAGAGGTAGGGGAAAAACAAAGGAGGAGGCAACAATGCTTGATAAGAAATGTACTCATTACCTTGCGCATGTAATTGTAACCCCTCTGTATGGTATTTTCACAATAAAAATATCAATTATGGCATTCCAACATTTTAAATATAGAGAATGTGAGCAAATTTACAATTGCTTGCAAAAAAAATGCCATTCGGGAGAAGCTTTCAAGTATTTGTGTATGTAATTTAAGAAAAGCAAAACCTTTCAAGGAAAGCATTTAGGATGATATTTAAGGTGATATTTTAATTCAGTCAATTTGTATCAATAACACAATATACTTTCAAGACCTATTTATTAACTGACTCTGTTATTTCACATACATCTAATATTAGAGAAAAGAAATGACATTTAAACATGTCCATATTACAAATAAGCATATATTGACAATATTATTTACACGTATATTATAGATATTGATGGAATTCAGGAAAGCTATGTTATTGATAAAAACAAAAATAATAGTATGGAAGGCCATAACACAAGCATGAATGTTATGTTTCTTCAACTGAATATAACCTAAGGAAGAGTTGGAAACATGCAAATGTGTAGATGCCTATAATTCCGCTTCAGCTAAAATACTTATCAATCTTGTAGCTCCCCAATTTACCAGTTCATGACAGCTGTTTTTGGTGCTGAAGGCTTCCCCATACATCAATGATTCTTTGTCATAAGTTTATTTTTCCTCATCAAATTTGGAGTCTGTAAAGCAGATGTTAGCATAGGGGCAGCCTCAGACCACCATCTTTCTATGCCTTCTGTGAATGTATGTAGGATCATAAATATGTATATTTATATTATATTAATAGCTGACTTGTTGGGTAACATAGAGTCTCCCTAATTTTTTTCTTGTCCAGGTTGGCCTCAAACTTGATCAAAGCCATTCTTACCTCCCAAGTAGTTAGTAATACTGATGTGTGTCAGCATTCCAGGCTCAGTTTATTTCAGCTGAAAATATTAGTCAGGTTAGTTGTTAAATAGATCAAAACACTGAGATAGTATATCGTACATTAAACTTGAATTCTTAAAAATTAAAAATTGCATTTGTAGCTGAAATAAAATTGACATGTTCAAATACAATTACAATCAGGTTCATCAAATAGCATCAAAATGTATGCATAGAAGTTATATTTAGCCCTTCTGAGACTACCAATAATGATTATTTTATAGCTCATAAAAATAGTGACATTTTAATTGTTTCTTAGGTATTAGTACTGAAATATATCTAGCTATCTATTCTTAATATAGAAAATCAAAATGGTAAGTCCTAAATTTATGAAAAAGCTATTTGATCCAACTTTTATGATAGGCATATTAAAACTATTTAGTTTTTAAATCACATGAGATTTTAATGGTTTCCTTCTTGATGATCATACATCCATGAACTGTTATTTATTTAAAAATATTTTACATGAACATATTAAACTAATGCCATTCATATGACTTCAAAAATTATTTTATAATACATTAAAGCAATGTTTTAAGCTGGTTATACTAATTGGTTTTAATATAAAGGAGTACTACTGCCCTCTAGTGGAAAAATAGTTGTTTATTTTATTTAAACATTTAAACATGGCCTTTAGGTGAAGGATAACAAATGACCAGACCTGGGAAATACCGAGTGCTCAGGAATAACACAGGGGCATTCTTCGGTCTTTATTACTTGGTTTCACCAGTCATAATTTTCTTTTCTTCTGTTTTTGAAATAGTGTCAATGAAATTATACATGTGTTTTAGAGAATTATATTGTATATGTTATTCATCCTGAGAATAAATCCCAAAGTTTATGTGAATTCATTCAGAGTATTCATTTTGTGATAAGTACCCATCATTCTTCACCTCTTAAAATTTAAAAAAATTAAATATATTACATAACAAATCAATTTAATATATTAGATAAATAATTTGGGTTTCCACTATAACAATAATCATTCCCAGGAAATTCTTCTGTGATTAAAATAACTAAGTGAATTTTTTAGTGACACATTTCATAACTCAAAGTCCAATAAATTGCCTCATTCTATTTGAAACAAAGTAGTTTCCACAAAATTAAATAGTATTCATGGTAAGTGAAACAATGCATTATGTATACTTTAAGTGTGTGTATATGTGAATCAAACTATTATTAGCTAATATTCAATTCTATCTCATTACCTAATAGAAATTTAGGTAATAATTATTAACAGAATCTAGGAAAAGTATTCTATCCTTCCTTGATAGTTGAATAATATTGAACGTTAGTGGATAAACTGTGTCCCATTTGGTAAATTTATTGACCATATCTTTTGTTGGAAGAAAAGTAACTGCTCTGGTTTGCTGTGAGTCTGTTTTACTGTGTTGTACTTTTTCTTAAAACAAGGATAGATTAAAAATGTTGGAAACGAGTAAGACTGTTGCTATAGTGCTCACCAAGGACTGCATGTCACTTTCTATGTTTTCCTGTAGGTCCCACCCTGCCACCACTCAAGATGCTGAATTCCTTCTGTGCGTTAAAGGCAGATGATGGGCCCTGCAAAGCCTTAATGAGGAAATTTTTCTTCAACATTTTCACTCAGCAATGTGAGGAGTTTATATATGGGGGATGTGAAGGAAATCGGAATCGATTTGATAGTCTGGAAGAGTGCAAAGAAAACTGTATAGTGGGTAAGTTTCCAGAAAACTATGATCCAAGTGCTATCAGATCTATTTGTAGAAAAAAAAGTGATTTGGTAATTGTAAAAAAAAAAAAGAAAGAAAGAAAAGAAAAAAAGACTGTAATACTTCTTTAATATTCCAAAGAAGTTTCTTTTATTCTTTCTTTTTTTTTGGGGGGGGTCCGATCGTGGGGCCTGAACTCTGGGCCTGGATGCGGTCCCTCAGCTCTTCAGCTCAAGGCTAGCACTCTACCACTTGAGCCACAGCGCCACTTCCAGCTTTTTTTTTTTTCTGCTTATTTGATGTTGAGGAATTGAACCCAGGGCCTCATGCATGCAAGGCAAGTGCTCTACCAATGAGCCATCTTCCCAGCCCGAAATCTCTTTTTTGACTCATGTTTCAACTACTGAGTTATACAGTCATATTTTTATATAAAACAAGTATAATTATGAATATATTGGTATCATTTATTAAAATTAATATTTACTATACAATATTAATTTAAATTTATTAAATTGTTTATTAAAATTATTAAATTAGTTTAACCAATTAAATGTTTGATGTATTAAAATTATTAAGGTTCATTTATTATTCTGTTGTCTTCTCTGCAGTAAAGGAGGGGGGAAATCAAGTTCTTAGAAGAGTTTTATAAGTGCAGTGAAGCAAGTATAATTTATCCTCTTTGGGTAGCTATGATTATTGTGATTGTTGATCACATTGATTTGGTTTTACCTTTGTCATTACCACAATATCATGTTTTGCATCTTGTACCAATACCAGTTCAAAGTGGATCAAAGACATTAACCTATGACCTTAAGTCTTGAAACTAATGCAGGAAGAGGTAGGGAAATCGCTAGAATTTATTGGCATAGGCAAGATTTTATTGAATATAATTCCAGGGTCTCAGCCAATAGGAGAGAAAATTTGATGATATTGTATTAAGCTAAAAGCTGATGCTCAGTGAACATTGTCACCGTCACCCAGGTAAAAGAAAATTCTAAAGAGTAGGAGATCTTTGCCAGATGTCTGTTCAACAAGGGTTTAATGAGACTATATAAGGAGCTTAAAAGACTAAAGCCCCAAAGAATCAATAACCCAGTCAATAAGCTAAACAGACATTACAACAGACAGAACAAGTAGCTAAACACATATTTCTCAAAAGTTCAACTGGACAATAGATGAACAAATGCTCAACATCCCTGACCATAGATGAAATGTAAATCAAAACAACAGTGAGATTCTATCTCGTTTCAATCAGAATAACCAACAACAAATGCTAGCATAGATGAAAGGAAGAAGAGAACTTAGTACATTTTGGTAGAAATGCAAATTAATGCAGCCAACTTTGGAAATTAGTATGGAGATTTTTCAAAAGTTAAAAGTAGAATTAGCCTGTGATCCAGTGATGTCACTCCTCAGCACTTATCCTAAACTGTACAAGACATGACACAACAAAGCTACCTGCACACTCATTTTCATTGCACTATTCAAAACAGCCAAATTAGGAAAACATGGAAGCAGCCTAGATTCCCTGCAATGAAATAACAGAGCTGTCATAGATATATTTATTATAGATATATAAATCATATACACATATGCATAATTTTTTAGCCATCGGGAAGAATAAATTTATAGCACTTGAAAGTAAGTGGATGGATTTAGAAAAAAATGATGCCAGTTAGACTATGGGTTTATATTTCCCCTCACTTGTGGATCATGGACCAAAACACAATCTCCCAGGTGAATACCAAGGGGTACAGGCATATATATGAGACAAAGCCAATCAAGGTATAGTATATGCAGGAGGGAAACTCCATGGTATAAGTTCTTTGAAAAAATAACAGAAAGCTTTAAAAATGAGTAGCAAAAGGTTGAAACATGATTTGAACTTGGGGACAAGTGGGGGAGAGGTAGATGAATGGAATTGGGATAGTGTTCAAATGCAATAATACTCAGGGTACAATTGTGAAAAATGAAGTTGAAAATTTGGCATGAGTGTTTGAGGAAGAGGTAGGCAGAGGCGGAGGGAGAATGATGGGAAATGCACTGTATACAAGGGTAATATATTCAGAAATTGACATGTTACATTCTAATCTGGAATCATCTGTAGAGAACATTTTTTAAGAAAACAGTGCAGAATTGTAATCTGAGGGAAAGGAATTGAATGAGGTGAGTCCTCCAGTCTTCCTTTTGTCTCCCCAGTTCTGTATGAGATCACCATAGAAAGTAGGAAGTTCAAGAACAGCGCTGTGGTCTCTAAGAAAAGGAGATGGAGACTGGAGATTAGAAAGCTGGATAGAGTGGATGTGATTTCAGCAAGAGTGTGTGGGAGATAAAGTTCTGTAGCCAAAAGAAAAATCCCAAGAAATCTGGATACAGTCACTTTGAGTTTATCACTGAATAATAAAATTCTGCATGGATGACAATGGTCCACAAGTTTAGCAAAATAAAATTATTACTGATTTCTAAGTGGGACAATTTACAGAAGTTCCACATGACTAAGATACTTGGCATTTAATTTGAAAGTAGTGCTAAGTTATACATAGAATGGAAACAACTCTGCACTTGCCCTGATAAAGCTTAGAGACCAACCTTAAAGGATCTAGCTGATCCACAAGAAAATGAACTACTTGGCAAAAGAAACTTCATCTTTGATTAAAGGCTGAAAATAAAGTCTAAAATGTGACATGCAAAAATATCCTTAAGCTCTCCTCTTCTCAAGTGCTTACCATTTAAATAAGAACAATTATGATCCATAACTAGTACTTAATCAAAATAGTAAATAAAGGTATGGAGTTAATGAGAGGACAAGAACTTTAAAACAGTTATCCTAAAATACAAAAAGAAAGAAAGAAAGAAAGAAGATGGGTACATAATAGAGAAAGGAAAGAAAAACTTGAGAACTAAATAGAAATTCTTACTGAAAACAATATATAAAAGATAGAAAATATCAGTAAACATACAAGACAACATGATAAACTGCTCAAAAATTCTGGAAGTGGTGCTGTGGCTCAAAATGGTAGAGCACTAACCTTGCACACACAGAGGCTCAGGGACCGCACCCAAGCCCTGAGTTCAAGCCCCAGGACAGGCAAAATAGAAAAAAAAAAAAAAGGAATGATTTATTGATGATGAATCCACTGTCTTAGATGGCTTGCTAAGTTCAAATTATAATATCACATTGTATATTGACACCCTTTTTTTTGCAGATTACCTAAAGGACACCAAAAAGATTAATTTGCAAGGGGGTGAGTATTTATTTATGTATGAGTGAGTAGCATTTGTGTAAGGAAGCCAGGTATTCATCTCCTAGTTTTCTTTGTTATTGGTTAATCATAAATCCAGATTACATTCATTTCAGTGCATGCTAAAAAAAAATGAGCCAGGATGGGCCTGCCATGTCGTGTGGAAGGCTTGAATAGCAGCTATTCCAGCAGACAAGTGCAGCACAATATTTTGGTTTAGACCACTCATAAACTAGACTTACACTGGCTATTTACTAAAACATTTGGCAGTAGTTTAGATGTTGCTAAATCTTACTTTACTTCTCTGATCTCTAATATCTTATGAATGTCAGATCAGTGTGGCTTTGGAAAATTCATCTAACTGTCCCTAAATAAATGGACATTTCTGAGTTATTGATACTTTTGGTTGCAAAAGCTAATGAACATATTTAATTGACTTTGGTAACATTATTTAGTATGTATGCACAGTTTTTTTTAAATTTCAGGACAATTTTTTGAAAGGAAGCAATTACTTTTTGGTGAATATATTAGACCAGAATAAGAAAAAAAGTTCTCATCAAAATAATAAAAACTTCCTTTGTTTTTGGTTTGGTATTTTTTGTTTATAAGACAAGATTGTGACAGTTCAGGCTGAGCTTGAACTCAATATATAGCCCAGGTTGAGTGTCCATCCCAAGAATGAAATAATGGGCCATGTTTACTGCAGAATTATTCTAGAATAGCCAAGATATAGAATGAACTCAAGTGTTTATCAATAGAAATCCTGTCATTAGTCACATATAGAAATACTTGAACATTATGTTGAGTGAAATTAGGCAGGATTAGAAAATTCTCATTTATATAGGAAATCTGACAAGAGTGACCTGAAAGTAGAGAGTAGAATGATGGCTGTCAGAAATTGAGGAGTCAGGCTGTTGGAGACATATTGGTTCCCAAACAACTATTACACGTTATAGTTGGATAGGAGGAAACATTCACATAATTTATGTTATATCAAGATGACTACAATTAGTGACCATATTGTATCCTTGAGGTATGCTATGAGTAGATAGTATGTGTTCTCAGTACTAAAGTAAGTCAAGTGATGGCTAGACTTAACTATTCTACACTATAGAGCTAAAGTATTCTGAGGCATTATGTTGTATACAATGAATACATTAAATTATGTCAGTTGGAATAAGTACATTTAAAAAAGGAGGCACCATGGGAAAAGAATTCACTTTATAAAGTCAGAATCAAGCAGGGTATCTGGCTACTTAAGCCAGCCCAGGCTAGCTTAATGGAGTCCATTATCAAAATAACCAGGAAAAAAAAAACCCAAAACTCTGATAGAGTCATGGCTAAGGTGTAGATTGCCAGCCAGCAAAGGAGCTTTTAAGTTCAACCTCAATATTTTTTCTGAAACATAAACACATGAGTCAGCAGACAAAAAAATCCCACAAATAAATAGCTTTGAGAAATCGTAGAAAACATATTCGATGCTATATTAAAATCAGACATTTAATTTAATAAAACCACTCTTTTATAAGGGATTACTGCTGCATATCTGAAATTGTTGCAGATATGATTAACACTTAGCCTGTGCTCTTTTTATAGTAAGACACTTGTGGACTTTCATTCCCTGAAATAGAAGATCAAATTGCTTTAAGTATAAAACGGATACCACAGTTTATTTTGTCTACTATGGTAATGTAGCTTCAAGGAGCAAGGGAAATTGTAACTTTGTCCAAAAAATTGCAACAAAGTAAGCCTTATGACGGAAATACATTTGAAAATCAGCTCCACTTTCCTCCCAGAGTATGTTTGCAGACAGAGTTTGCAGTGCAGTGCCCAGTATCACACCTTTGATGACAGCTGTGTTTAGCCTGGTCTGGAGCACTTTCAAAGGAGAGGTAGTAAACTTTCCCCAAAGCCTGGCTAATCCTTGAACATGTATTTCCTTTCTGCCTCTGCATTGTTGGTTCATTCCAATGCTTGGAAACAGGAGTGAGGGAAAAGAGTCAACACAGTGATGGAGATCATGCCCCGTAAAGATATTAATTTCAGTATAAGAATTCAGGAAGTCCCCAGAATAGCCATGACAGCTTTTCGGGCAGCTCAAGTCTTCCTCCCCAAGCTTTCAAGCTGTAACATTTTTCATGAACCAATACTCTGATCTCCCAAATGATGTCCAAACTTCAAAACCCTGCTACATTCATAGCCCTTCCCTTAATGGGCGGAAATAAACCAAAATTTGCCACAGCATTTTTGTACTTGCCAAACAAGAATGGCATGTGATATAATGACGTAATCTATTCATTTGCACAGTTCATTTAGTTCATGTATTTGTTAAGTGCAAGAAGTTTAGACATTAAAATGGCAACTAAAAAGTATAATTGTAATCTTCACTATTCCAAATAAAGAACATATAACACTGGATACTTTAATATTACCTAACTTTTAATTAATCCACTTGTCTTTAATATGATACATCTTTGCGTTTATTCTGTAAACTTTGCAAACTGTTGTTTTATATAGCAATAAGTTATTTATATAGTTCATTTAAGTAACTATACATTTTAAAGAAAAAGAATATTGCTTTTCGACATTTTCCCCCTCATTTCTAGGAAAACCATTTTTCTGCTTTTTGGAAGAAGATCCAGGTATCTGCCGAGGTTTTATTAACAGGTATTTTTATAACAATCAATCAAAGCTATGTGAACGTTTCAAGTATGGTGGATGCCTAGGAAATCGAAACAACTTTGAATCGTTGGAAGAATGCAAAAGCACCTGTGAAGATGAACGTAAGTTCATTTCTCATCTCACTTTAGTCCATTCCCAGGATACTTTTAAAACAGGCATTTCAGGGAACTTTACACCTGATTCGGGTTTAGTTTTACCCACTTATTTTTTATGAAAAAAACAACGGAGAACACTAAAATTGTTACCATAATTGTCATATTGCCTTTATGTCACATTATTTAAATTTCTTTCCCCACAAACTGTTATAATTTGGGCATAATTGTAGTGACCAAAATTCCAATACTTTATAAGAATATGAGGATAAATAATTAGAAACAACTATTCAAACTCTTTGCTTGTAAAACTTATGTAAGAGGTGACTTAGTTATTATCTGTTACATTTTGTGCCCAAGACCTGCAATATTACCTTAAATACCTTGTATGTATTTGCTAATTTAACATAGCAATGTGATGAAAGTTTCAATAAGTCTACTTTTGCTAATACAACTTTTGTACTTCATTTTGCATATACAAGTAAGAAAGTATGATGATGCTCTTATATTTTAATTGCCTGCATTTTTTTTTTAGCAAATGATGTTCAAGTAGAAGTTTACAAAACTGAGCTCGAAACTGTCCAAAATAACTCTTCATCTCTTAAACCTACTAAAGTTCCCAAGCTTTGGGGTAAGAAACCTATTTATTTTTACTGCTTATGGAAAAACTTAAGGTAAATGTAAAAGCAGATAATGTATTCAAATTATTTCTTTCTAAATTTCTGTTGTGATTTAATAATAGGTGTGTTAAAACCCTGAGATTCAAGTCTTTAAGACATCTGATGTCATCTAAGTGATAATGTTTTTCCTAATCTCTCTAAAGTAGGCTTTGAAGTGGGCTTTTGACTATGTGTCATATAAAAAACTTTCACATGATAGTTAACTCTGCCAAATTTACCTTACAGAATAGCACTAGGAATTATCAGTCTTCATGTAGCATGTCAAATGCGCTTTTAAATAGTCCTGACACTAGGAAAGTTCTCTAGTGTCAGCCAGAGAGCAGGTGAGAAGCTGGATGACCAACTGTCCCAGAGAGTTGATCTCTAGAGAGAACTTTCTCAGCCTCTGCAAGTTTCCTTTCTATAATCTACCATGAATATATTTATCTGATTTCAATAAAAAATCCAGGAAATATCTCCTCAACGTAGAGCTGAGAAAGTGGTGGCAAAGAATTAGAAAACATAACCAGAGATCAAAACTACCTGAGCAATTAGATATAATCTAGAAAGCTGCAAAATAATGGTATAATACAAAGTCTTAACCTGAACTGTACAAATCAACGTGCATTGTTACAGAAATTAGAGATTGTTGCTGAGAAGCAACCCATACAATGTGTCACATGTAAACTTGCACCAGAATAACAAAGACTATTAGAGTTATATCTTATGAAAAAATATACAAGAAAAACAAAGTATTGGGTATATTTGTGTGTGTGTGTGTGTGTGTGTGTGTGTGTGTGTGTGTGTGTGTGTGTGTGTGGAGAGAGAGAGAGAGAGAGGGAGAGAGGGAGAGAGAGAGAGGGGGGAAGGGAAGGAGGGAGGGAGGGAAACACACACACACACCCACACACACACACCAGTCCAGTCCAACACTGAGGCTTGAACTTAGGACCTCACACTCTCACTTGGCTTTTCTGCTCATGCTGTATCACTGGAGCCATACCTTCCATTTGTTTGCTGGTTAACAGGAAATAGGAGTCACTCCAATTTGTCTGCGTAGGTTGGTTTCAAACTACAATTCTCAGATCTCAGCCTTTAGAGTAGATAGGATTACAGGCATGAGTTACTGGCACCCAGTTTCAATTTATTCTTAAACTGACCCCATCACCCACAAGCCTTACTATAGCTTTGTTCGCCACACCTTAACATCATACAGAGAATTGGAAACATGCTTAAGAAGTCTAGAGAGTGTAAGAAGAATTTAAGAGGGAGCATTCCAGTTGTGCACAGTACTTGAACTATCCTGTAAAAAGGTGTATTAAGTCCTGTCTGTACACACCTCCTCCTCCCTGCTGTCCACTTTCTCTCTCTTCCGTCCCCTTCTGAATAGTCCTCAGTCCAACTGAAGCATAGCAGTTAATGTGTGAATTATAAAATACATATATCTTTTAAGATCTCATAAAAGAATGAAAACTTTCTTAGGGAATTGGGCCATATGGTTCATTGAAAATCTTGTTTTTAAAGGTTGTTTTTTTCTAATTTCTTTTGTGTATAAAATTAAACAGTTTTATTCTTCTCTCCAACTGTTTCAAATATAGTTTTGTTTAATACAGATATAAATGTCATATATTCAAAAACATGCTAAATATTATTAAAAGATATGAAAATGTATCTTATTTATAATGATACCGAAGACATACATACAATTTTCAAGTAGAAAAAGAGCTTTTAATGTTTTGATAGTTTTAAGCAATTTAATACCAATTTAAGTGCAACTACTAAGTCATTTATTATTAAAATTAGTAGTGTGAGGGATAGTTCTACCTTGAAGTTCTATAAAGTTTAAAATTCATATTCTTCCTATGGAAATACTATCAAGTAAGAAAGGGGAAATAAAGAACTGTGAGAAAAAAACTGATAGTGAGTTTTAGATACCTTCTGATTATTGTAGGCTTCTCTGAAGACTCATATTGGAATAAAATGACAAATGGTGTGAAAAATAACATTAATTAAGGAAGTAATGAAATATTGATGACATGAATTTAAAAGAAAGCAATAATAAGGATTTCTATTTGTAATAGTGTATTTTTAATTTATTATATTTTATTTCATTTTATTTTTTGTCAGTCATTGGGGCTTGAACTCACGGTCTAGTCACTGTCCCTGAGCTCTTTTTGCTCAAGGCTAGTGCTCTACCACTTTGAGCCATAGCTCCCCTTCTTGTTTTCTGGTGATTAAATGGAGATAAAAGTCTCATAGACTTTCCTGTCCAGACTGGCTTTAAACCAGGATCCTCAGCCTCCTGAGTGGCTAGGATTACAGACATGAGCCACTGGCTCAAAATATACATAATACATCCTTAAATACAATGTTTTCACAGTAACTTCATATAGAATTAAAACACATATCTCTATTCAGAAGACTATTTTCTTTTTTATTATATATATTTGCCTAAAATATATTCTTTTAGTCAATTTGATCCTCCTTTTGTGATAACAGGGTGTACCCTTTTTTGTTTTGTTTTATTACCTTTCTCATCTGAAACATAAAAGATATATATAACAAACAATAATATTAATTACCATGAGAAGTTTGACCCAAGAAGGGTCAATGATTCCCTTTCTTCAGACTTATCTCAGAGGAGGAATGAAATGTCCCTCTGTACAATCTAAAATGGAGAGACTCTTCTAGGGCTTTCAGAGATCTACAAACAACTCTTGATTACCCAGTTCAGAAAAAAAACATCTAATACTCTTGCAATTTTGTTGATATATTCTTTGATAGTTTAAGGACACATAGTTCCTGATTCCTATAGAAACTTGTCACCGGATTTTAGTAAGATAAAACCCTTACAAGGCTTTTGTCAAAAGTGTAATACTCTCTATGCTTATTAATTTTGTTGAAAGCATATTAATCCTTTAAGGTTTCAATTCAGTAAACAGGACAAATAACATTAACAAAACCCCTTTTTAAAAGTATTTGATTAATAATAATCCTTAAAAATAATTGATTAAAATAATCCTCAAAACTTTAATATAACTGTTAATATTATATTATTAATTGGAATATTTTCACATAGAAAAGCATTTTAGAATTTTTAATGTTCGCTAGCTATTAGAAGATAGTTTGGAAAATTCATTTCTTAATTGTTGTATATTATAAGATAGTATACAATTGTAAATGAATTTTATATTTTTCCAGTGATCTTACTTCATTTCAATATACTTCATTCAATATACAGAAAGTTATTATTTTTCTCTTGTGTTCTATAGTTCAATATTCATATGCTATATGGACAACTTTGAAGACTGCTCCTTTCTTATCTCTCAGAGATTTTTTAAATGATTTCTAAAGTATATCTGAACACAGCTAGTAATCTCATTTAAGTTCATTCAACTGAATTAAGAGGATATTCATTTAGTTACAATAAATACATGTTCTCATTACTTCTGTAAGAGAAATAATGTGATTCTCAAAGTTGTGCTTTTGAAGTTCATAAGCTTCAGAATAGAAGCCTGAACAATTGGTTCTTCTTGGATTTCTTCTTATAACCAACAGTACTGTAGAGTGGACAAAATATCATTGAACCCAAAGATAGAGGGACTTGAGTAATTCAGTCATAACCTCTCTGAGATTTATCTTCCCACTATAAAATTAATGTGGCAATACTACCATGTTAACCCAATAGGCTTTGTGTAAGTTAAACATCAGTGCTATAGAGAAGTTTTCAGCACATCAGAATATCTTAGTATCTTCTGGATTTTTTTTATTGTTTGTTTGTTGATTGTGGGGCTTGATCTCTGAGCCTCGGTGCTGTCTCTAAGCTCTACAGCTCAAGGTTAGTGCTCTACTATTTTGAGCCACAGCGCCGCTTTCAGTTTTCTGGTGGTTAATTGGAGATAAGAGTCTCACGGAATTTCCTGCCCTTGGCTGGCTTTGAACCACGATCCTCAGATCTCAGCCTCCTGAATAGAGAGCAAAATATCTTCTAATACTCTCCTTGTTCATGATACATATCAAATGTTCCCTATGACTTCCCCTATGTGACCCAGAACAATACACTGATTTACCAGGCCTTTGTTTCTTATCTGTAAAATAGCTGCTTAAGTTCCTATTTGTAAGAGAAATTAATATTTCAGACAATAACAAAATTTTGCACTATTCAGATGAATGTACTAGTAAACACCAAGTATCAAAATTATGAGTAATCTTTAAAGAAGAATTCATACTAGAAATATATTTACATATACTCAAATAATTCAAAATTGTTTATTAAAACAAGTTGATAATTTTGTCATGGAAACATATCATGACGCTTCAAACACAAAATACTTGTATAACTTTTCTTATCTTTTCAATTTCTCCTGTTTCCAAACTTTCCAAGTTCTATTTTTTTTACAATTATTTCACTTGAATTTTTGATTGCTTCTCTTCTTTCAACTATTATTAAATTTTATTGAGTTTGAGGTGAAATGTCCGCTTACCTCTTCCATTTTCAGTCTTATCTGCTTTATTCAGAGCCATAATCTCTAGTGGTTTTGTTTTGTTTTGTTTTAGTTTTAAACAACCACATCTAAACTAAACTAGTACATTAATGACAATCATTCAATAGGAGATTCTAAACAATGATTACATTTTTTTGAAATATAGATAGATAATCAGAACTATCATTTTATTTGATCTATGAAAGTTTTATTTTTTATAAATATATGATTTTCATAAAATATACACATTAGGATTTGATATTCTCCCCAAGACAAGCATGAATCAACACTAGCTTTGGCAAACCAGGCTGCAGAAGTGTTAAGATTGACATAGATAGCCAGAATATTTAGGTGTAATTCAAATATATTAGAAATAAATATTATACATAATCCAAATTCCTGACATAAATGAACATATATTACACAATATATCATACAATATATTTTATTGTGTTATATATTGATTTATGCCAATATATATGGTATAT